ATTGTGATCTTCGGGTGATAAGCTGCTCCTACCTGCAGCGCACGACTCTTGAACAAGAGCTGGGACTGGCTGCTTATCTAGTGAAGGCAGAGTCACGACCACCACACAACCCTGGACCAGGAAGCCACGAGACTGAAAGTGATGCTGAAAAATTCAGCAGCACAGACAATGAAGAAGAGGAAGGACAAGATAATGGTAGCTTGAGATTCAAAATCCAATGAAATGTAAATACTACTAAATAATTTAATAATCTTTTGGGTCTTTTCCGATCATTTCCAGGAGACCCTCCGTCATCGTCCACTCAGCCTCTCCAGCAATGCCCTGACAGTGGAGCTGTTGATACCCTCCCAGCCCAAAGCACCACCTCTAAAAATGTTCATAAAGGCACACTGGACACCAAGCAACCTCCATCAAAACCACAGAATAGAGTTCTGCCCCAGCCCCCATCTCAGTCATTATCATACCTTCAAGTTCAAAGCCATCCCCAGGTCCAGCTAAATTCCCACCTGCAGCCACAAGCCCATGATCAAGTTCAGCCATTGCCTCAAACAAAATCTCAACCTTGTCCTCAAACAGTCCCCCAGCAGCAGCCTCATTCCCAGGCACAAACTCGTTCCAAATCTGCATCCTCTGGCTCATCATCCCCACAAACCTCTTCTCATCTGAGCTGCTCGTGGGCACGAGGATTGAGCCGCCCACCCTCTGTGCTCCTTCCTCGTGCCATCTATGACATTATCACAGCCAACGACAGTAGTGGACTCGCGCGATGTACTTCGTTCTTGCCACACTTGTCTGTTGCTTGGGCAAGCAGCTTCAGGTAGAAGAAAATGTGTTTGCATTACAAATAATGTAATATTTAATACTAATATGCTGTACTAATTTGAAAAAAAAAAGATTTAACTTGGTGTGTATCCAAACCTTGAACTCAAAAACATACAATTGTGAAAATATAATTTGTTTTCATGCTAACATGCAGTGTCTTTTTGCACAGACCTTTACTGAGTAAAATGATGACATGTACAGAGCAATCACTGTATTATCGTCAGTGGACTGTTCCTCGTTCCTACCACATGGACAGCAGCAATCGCACTGAAGGAAGAAGTGACAACTTTCATCCTCGAAGACTGCTGCTCAGCGGACCCCCACAGGTACAGTCTTTCTGTTATTTATTTATTTTTCCCCTATTTGGATTCAGCTCATACTGTACAGTAATCCTTGTTCATGTTTAACCCCACTGCTGCCTTTGAGTCAAAATGACCTGTGAACTGAGGACTTGTGCATCATTTTTGACCCAAGTAGGAGAGTTTATGTACTTTTTTCCCCAGTAAGGCTTTTAGTTGTGTTTAAACCCCTGAGGGTTTAAAAAGGCATTTATGCTTTTATTACCTTTCAACTAGATTTCTGCCAGCTTTTTCCATATGAATGAAAAAGGGATTGTTTTATTGTCTTCTGCACTTAGTAGAAAAAGTGGTCCACTTAGTTTTTAAATTATTATACCACTATTTTTTTTTAGTACCAGTAATCATTAGGATGGACTATACTTTGCTGCTCAGATCTGTGTCACTTTGCTGTTTTCTCTGACTTTTCTTTGTGCTTTATTAATAAATTTATTATAAACCTATTTTCCCCTTGCTGTTTGTTCCATATTTAGGTGGGGAAGACAGCGGCATACCTGCACTTCCTGGGTATCCTGTCTCGCATGCTGATCAGGCTCATGGAAGTGGATATCTATGATGAGGAAGACATCAACTGCAGTCAGTATAATTGTGGCACAAACCAGTTTTTAAAATTGCCATGTTAATTACAAATACTTTTCAATTAATTTTTATTAGTTTTCATGTTACAAGTGCTTTTTCTAATATTTATTGTAGCTTTTATCAAGCTGTGTCCTGATATTCTTCTTTAGTACTGTAAATTTATATCAGATGTATGTATACTTTTTTTTAAATGTGTTGTGCATTTAGGTGCTCAGACGGAAGGGGTGCAGTACCACCCACCTAATTCTCCATGGCCCAACACAGAAATCATGAAGAAAATACCCTTTGAGTACACCATCCATGATGCTAAATATGACGATATCAGCACGATATATTGCCCTGGATTTAAACCACGAACTGATGGTTAGTAAAATAAATGACGCATACTTTTACAAGAGTTTTGTTCAGATAATATTTTGCATGTTATAATCTCCTTTTTTTCTGCTTTGCGATCTGAAGGAAACCCAGTGTGGCAGGAGGAGGTGTACCTGCGCAGACGAACGACTAGAATCAAGCTCTCTAAGTATGCAGCCTACAACACCTATCATCACTGTGAACAGTGTCATCAGTACTTGGGCTTTAACCCCAGATACCAGGTCAGCACACTGCACACAAACAATATGAGAAATTACACTTTAAATTAATGTGAACTGTACATAAATAAGGGTTTCCTCTTATCATAATTAAGACGTATGAGTCAACGCTGCATGCCTTCACGTTCACTCATCTGCTGCTCGGAGAAGATATTCAGCTCTACTTCATCATCCCAAAATCTAAAGAGCACTACTTCAGCTTCAGCCAACCAGGAGGCCAACTGGAGAGCTTGAGGTTACCTCTTGCTTCTGACTGGGTGAGTCCTTCATCACCAAAATTTGAAGCTCTGAATCTCACCAATGAGCATTTCCACCTTTTTTCCCACATCTCAGTTTAATATAACCTTACATGTTCTTATCATGCTGTCATTATTGATTAAATTATGACCGCTGGAGTCTTGCTGCACTCACAGTGAAAATCTCCAAAACTATGCTGTAAGTTTGTATTTCACACTAGTAGTACCAAGGAAAATAATAATAATTAATGCAAGTTTTATTTTTATACTCTGCTGTTGAGCAATGAAAAATACATATCAATATTTTTTGTCCACCATTTTCAGTTAACATACATTATACCTTTGCTTTAAATCGGATGATGGGCAATGTTGATAACAATTCCTGGTTGCTCCACTAGAGGGGTCAGTTGTTAAGGCTATGGCTCAAACAGTTTCTACATTAAAGTTGTTCTTGCATATTTTTATGAAACAAACAGTACACAGATGTCCCCCACCACAAAAGGATTTGAATAGTGAATGTTTGTAGTTTTTAACATGTACTTAACAAGGTTGAGTCAGGTCCTCTGGACAGGTTTCAAGGATTCAAAGTTATTTATTGTCATTTGCATCACATGTAGCACATGAGGTGGAACAAAATTGTGTACACAGGGTCCCAGTTACATCCAACAAAAGTATAAAATGTAAAAGAAAAACAGTAGTAAGATATAAGATATGGTTCTTCTTTGTTGAAACTTTTTTTGTCTTTTACCCAAAAGACTTCTTCAGCCTAACCTTGTTAGTTTTATCTACCCAATTTGTTGAGCATGCATCAGGACATTTCGACCTGTGTGTTTTTCTGGACTAGAATTGAACAGGGAATAAAAGGTTAAATGTTTTTGGTGCAAGAAAATCAAGTGGGTAGGAGTTACACTGTGTAATAATAATAATATATTGATACATTTTATTTGTATAGCGCTTTTCTAAATACTCAAAAAGACGCTTAAGAACATATGAGAACAGAGGTAGTTTTTTGGGGGGGCTGAGGTGGTGCAGAGTGTGTGATATTCATTCAACCTTTATTTAGACAGGTTAATCCCACTGAGCCTCGAGGACTCATTTACAAGAAAAACCTGATTACTAGAGAGACCTGATTAGTCTGGATAGTGGCGAGCAACGGGAGCAGTTTTGTCCACCATTGTACCCTTTGCTTGTGCAGTGAACGGAGGGTGCACACACCCACAGGGTGGCAAATGGTGGCCTTAGACCCCATAGATTAATTTCTTATTACCACACCAGCCACCCCAATCATGTGAGGAATCTACTTTTGGAAATGTAAAAAATAGAAAATATAGTTTTCCCAAATGATAAGTGTAGCCACTTCATACACACACACACACACACACACACACACACACACACACACACAC